CGGTGCAGGCCTTTGGCAGTGTGGTGGAGCTAGATGAGCTCTTTAAGGTCCCTTCCAACCCAAACTAGTCTGGGATTCTGTGCACGGCCTTGATGGCACTTGAGCAATTGGACATAAGATCCTGAAGCATCACACACATCTGCAACTTTGCAAGACAGACTTCACAGAACCACAGGCTGGATTCGGTTGGAAGGGACCTTAAAGCTCATTCAGTTCCAACCCCCTGCCACGGGCAGGGATACCTTCCACTAGAGCAGGTTGCTCCAAGCCCCTGTGTCCAACCTGGCCTTGAACACTGCCAGGGATGGGGCAGCCACAGCTTCTCTGGGCACCCTGTGCCAGTGCCTCAGCACCCTCCCAGGGAAGAACTTCTGCCCAAGAGCTCATCTCAATCTCCCCTCTGGCAGATTAAAGCCGTTTGCCTTGTCCTTTCTCTACAGGCCCTTGTCCAAAGCCCCTCTCCAGGTTTCTTGCCAGCCCCTTTACAGCAGCTGTCTGAATGTCAGAGGCTCGTCCCTGCTGTAGGAACTCACAGATGTGTGCTTGGGAAAGGTGTAAACATGAGGATTGCCCCATTCCTGGGGGAGTGGGAGTGCAGCAGATCAGGCTTGAATGCCAGCCCGTGCTCTGGTTCCTGGGTGTGGCAGATTTCTTCCTGCACTGATACCATCTAGCTCTGTTCAGACACCTTTGTCGAGGGGGAAGGAACAGAGGATTCCTGAAATTGTTTACACAGGAATGCTTGTTGAGAGGTTTGGCTCTGTGCTGGCTGAAGCCAATGCTTCTGAGTGCCTTAAATACTTCCCATACGGACCAGTTGCGCTTTCAGCTTAGCTGTGTAGGGCTGGTTCCTTCTGCTGCAAGCTGGTCAAGTTTCACAGCCCTGCATGCATCTTGGGTGTTACATTGCAGTGGTGCTGGGATGCAGATAACTGCTGGAGGTGGGGAGTGCAGGGGGGTGGTAGTTTCATACCTGGCACATTGGCACGGGAGAACTTGAGTTTTAAATACTCCCTTTTTAAATAGTTGTCTCTGCAGTGAAGTTTCCTCCTTCAGCCACAGCATCTGTTCTCATGCCAGTGTTTGTGGGTCGTGGGGAAGATACTATCTGGTGTTTCTAGTACATGAGAGCAGTGGGTGGAGAGAAGAAAGGGCTCAGCCCTGTTGAGCGAGTGGGAGGAAGAAAGGTGCTCTGCCTCCTCCTCCTCCTCTTCCTCCTCCACAGGTAGGGTCCATACATGCAGCACTGCCCACCCAAACCAAACCACACAGGTCACTTCTTCAGGGACAGGGCAGCGAGGCTGTGAGTCTGGCCACTCATGTGAAGTATAAAAAAGAGAGAGTAATTACGAAGCCAAAGCTGAGACACTGATGGATTTCACTTTCCAGTTTCTGATGTAACTATTTAAGTCTGTGCATGTTTCCCTCCACGCCTCTAAGACAGTAACTTGTTTTAATGAAGAATAAATGTGACCACGTTTTCAAAGCATCTGGCTTCAGATGACTGCTGTATGAATCCTTCTGGGGGTTTGTGAATGGGTTTTTGGGGATTGTGTTCATTCCTCCCACCCTGTTACTACCATGGCAGGATACTTCACTGCACTTATCTTTTAATCTGCATTTTGAACTGCATGTTCATGGCATTTACAGTGCCTTGTCTCAACTGGGTGGTGTGTGAAGAGGTTTGAGCAGTGTGGGAATGACACAGCAGACACACATTCTGGCATTCCCAATATAGCTGCTATCACTGGCCCTGGTGTCTGCTGAGGACAGAGTATCACATTGCCCTGATCAGTTGTTCAGCTCCTCTGGCTGCCAAGCACACTGTGTGTGCTCTTGCCTGTGTGCAGGGACTAGTAAGTGAAACAGGTTTGTTTTTTCTGGTAGAAAATGGTTTTCTGATTCAAATGTGAAGATGCCACCAGAGAGCTCAGCCCAGCGAGTGATGACCAGGCTCCGGGTCATGCCTCAGCTGACTTAACCATCACAGGGGATCAGTTATACAAATGATCTTGCTGAGATAGAGGCTTACTTCATTCAAGCTGCCCAAACATGGATGTTCCTGTGAGAGCCATAAACTGAGCTTCCTGTTGATTATCTTGTCCATCAAAGCAGTAATTTGACGTAAAAAGAAATTATTAGAGCAGCTTTAAACTGGGGCTGAGGTTACAGAGACACCTGAAATCTGTTAGCCTGGAGATCACACAGATGAGTCAGCATCAGCATGACCAGCATGGCCAAGGCTGGAGTGGAGGTTGGTGGAGCACAGTGCTCTTCTGTAATAAACACAAAACTACTGCTGTTGAATTGTTGGATTCATCACACCCCCGCTGGAGCTTTTCTTTAGAGGACAAATCTGTTGATTCTCCTACAGGCTCACGATGAAGTCTGCCCTGAATTCCCGCTGACTTGCGAAGGCTGTGGGAAGAAGATCCCAAGGGAGAAGGTACCCCCCCGCGTGCTGGTGACCTGTGTGCTGTGGTGGGGTTTGGAGCTCTGACAGGCTGCCAGTGGTGTTCTCGGAGCAGGGAGGGAAATTGGGACCATTGACTAGGAAGTGGAGTGTGTAAAACAAGTGGTGGCTGTTGGTACAGATGTGACCTTATACAAGGCTCAGAATGCTGGTTGGGTGTGAGAATGTGACTCATGGTGCGTGTAGTTGAGTCTTAGTGCTGCCAAGGCCACCTCCCTTGGTGCAGTGTGTTTCCCACATCTGGGTGCAGAGACTCCATGGGAAAAGCATGCTCCTGGGCTTAAGGGGTACTTATGTCCCATGTAAAGCAGCTGTATCATCCACAGCTGCAGATATGCAAAGGGAGCCCATCTCCAGCCAAATGAATTCATTTCTAGTGAATGGTGTAATGGGATCTGTGCTACTGGCTTCTGGGCAAGGCTCAAAACCCAGAAATCAAGGGTTTGGGAAGCATCTTCAAAAAGCACCTTCAAAAATTCATGCAAAACTCTCCTGCCTGCCATGGGCAAAGGTTTTGAGTAGCACTGTTGTAAAAGGCCCTTGTAGCAGGGCAAGGGGGACAGAAGCATCAGAAAGATGAGCAAAGAGTTCTAAATGGGGAGGTAATGAAGGGCTTTGTGTTGGGGTCTTGGGATACAGATCTGCTGCTCTGCAGGCTGGGGCTGGAGCCCAGCAGAGGCTATCCAGGCTTGTAGGATTCCTGTAGGACTCCAGCGGGCGATCTATCCTGAGTTTAATATTTAACTCCTTCTTCTAGCTCTCTCCAAACTTCAGTTGATTAGCTGCAGTGTTGTAATTCTGGGTAACCTGACTCATTAAACAAGCCAGATGGATCTAGAAGCTTTTAAGAAAGTGGTTTAAAAACAGTTTTAATCGACATCTATTGTAGCAGATGTAGATGTTAAATGTGGAATATGGTGGTTGTTCAGAACAGACCACCTATAGGATGATGAGAGGTGTATCAAACCCAAGATGTGCCAGTGCTTGTTAGCATTAATCATGCTTTGTGTGGGAACCCAAACGAGTCATCTTGGCAGCTGGGGGGTTCTCTGTCACTTCTTTGTAGCAATACCCACTCTTGGCCTCGGCTCTTCTGGAGACAAGAGTCTGTAGAGAAAGGACAAGGGGAATGGCTTTAACCTGCCAGAGGAGAGACTGAGATGAGCTCTTAGGCAGAAGTTCTTCCCTGTGAAGGTGCTGAGGTGCTGGCACAGGGTGCCCAGAGGAGCTGTGGCTGCCCCATCCCTGGCAGTGTTCAAGGCCAGGTTGGACAGAGGGGCTTGGAGCAACCTGGTCTAGTGGAAGGTGTCCCTGCCCGTGGCAGGGGGTTGGAACTGGATGAGCTTTAAGGCCCCTTCCAACCCAAACCAGTCCAGGATTCTGTGATTCTTCACGGCAGTGGTTAGACAAGAGGCAGGTGAGGTGTGGTGTCCTTGGCACCCTGGCGAGGGAATGCTGGACCCAGCAGAGCCTCTTCCCTTGCACAGCTGGACCTGCAGTAAGTGCTTTAAGTGCTCAGACAGGACCAGTGGGAAGTTTTTTGTTCTCAGATTTATAATGCTCAGCTGGAAGCTGTGGCATGTCCCAGCAAGGGTTACATGAAGTCTACAAATCTAATAGGTGTCTGCTTCACAGGGTCATTCTTAATCCTCCCCTTTCTCTGTCGTCAGTGAAGCTTGTTCAGCATCCCTAACATGTACCTGTGCTGGTTGCGTTTTCTTTCTTGCATATGGGGGCAAGAAGTGAACCATCAAGAGAAAGAAAGTTTCCTTCCAGGTGCCAGTACTAGATTTATATTACAGTGAAAGTCATACCTGATGGTAGACAGTGTCCATGTGTAACCATGCACTTGGGCAGTGAGTAATTAGTGATGTCTTGGGTGTTCTTGAGATCACCTCTGTTTCCTAAACACCAGCAAGATGGAGAGGGAGCTACTGGGGACACAGAAGATCTAACATTGCCTTCCTTCCTTCCTTTCTAGTTTCGGGACCATGTGAAGAGTTGTGGCAGATCTAAAGTGCCGTGCAGATTTGAGGTTGTTGGATGTGCTGAGGTGGTAAGAGCTCATGTGTTGATGTTCATCTTGGGGCGTGTTTTCAGTTCCAATGTTAATAACCTGCAAACTGCTGTTGCCCAAACTGTTACAGATGCTTGCATTCAGATATTGGAACAAAGTGGTGTTTCAAACCCTTTCAAATGAAGCTTAACATCATTTGCTGTCCAAGAGTTCAGGTATCCAGAGAATGAGATCACTGTGGAAGGAAACCTGTTTTTTGAGGAACAGCCCAAGTGCTTTGCTGCTCTGGGGGTTGTGCTGCTTTCAGCTCTAGGCACAGGACTGGGGCTAGGCCATTGTTTCTCCAGCTCCTACTGGTGATGTTCATACAAATCCCTCCTTGGAGGGATTATACAAGGCTTTGTCCTTTGTTGCTGTTAAGTACATCTGACAGAGCCCTTGTGGGGAGTACCAGAGGAAGGCAGAGCAGAGCAGTGGGGAAATGTTAAACATCCTCATTGTATGTGATCAGCATCTCTAAGACTAAACAAAAACCCAATCCCCAAACCAGTTTTCTTAACCATCTTTCTTTGGGCTTTACACTTTATAATTTAAATCTTAGGTTGTGCCCTTGAGAGGAGGAATTTGTTGTGTGTATGGTGGCAGCGTAGGGTGAGCTTGCTGAATGGGGGATGTATTTCTCTTCATGTAGGTGGAAAAAGAAGAGCTGCTAGAACATGAAAGGAAGTGCTTGGCAGAGCATCTCTACATGCTGCTGAGTTTTGTGCTCAGCCTTAAGGCTGGGGCTGGAGACCTGAAGCCCCTTCCTGCCCTTTCCTCATCGCAAAGTGCCCCACTACTGGCAGAAAACTCAGAGTCAGAGGTTTCCAGGTCCTTGGAGCTCCTGGGAAGATGTGAGGCCCTTGAGAGGAAAACTGTGACCTTTGAGAACATTGTCTGTGTGCTCAATCGGGAGGTAGGAAGTTTTTTTGTCTCTGACAGCCGAAGCCTACAACCGGCAGCACCAGCTGGACCAGAAGAAGATCGAAACGCTGAGTAACAAGGTGTGTAAGCACTGGCTGGGGCTTCCCAGCACCCTGAGCAGAGGCTTTTTCTGTTTCCTTTCCATGTTACTAGCAAAGCTTCACCACCCAGCCCTGAAACTCCGCAGATCCAAAGGGCAGGACTAAAATGTCACCTGTGCCTGTGCCCAACCCTCAAAAGACTCCTGGAAAAGACAGGGATTGAACTGACAGGTATAAAACATTCAGATCTCTGCTAGTAATGGAGTTGTGCAGACACTGCGATGTTGTTCCCTGGTGAGGTCTTCAATGAGAGACAGATTCACTGGATCTCTCTGGATCTGAGGCTGCTTCTAGACCTTGCAAAAGGAGTGTAGTCATTAGTGCTGCACTGCAGCCCTGTGGCAGGCATGGTCTTGGAGGTGTGAGGAAGCTGTCCCCACCAGCATGCTCCAGCACAGTCCCTGCTGAGCACTGCCAGCGGGGAGCTGTGCACTTTGCAGTGTACCTGTGCTCTCTCAGCAGGGGAGCTGCCAGAACTGGTGTGATCCTGTTAGCCAGGAGTGACTGACCCTCTGCAGACTTTGTGGGCTGGGTGTAGGTTCTTCTCAGTCTAGCTTTGCCAAAGTGCTCAGTTGCTGGTTCCCCCCCAGCACTTCTTGTGCTGCTCAGGTAACAGAGCTGCTCAGTCCACTCACTGTGGGAGTTTCAAGCTCAAGCACTGAGTTGTATCAATGGAACTTCTCCAGAGTGACAGCGCTCAACAGGGAGCTTCAGTGAATCACCTTCTGATGCCAGGTTTCTCCCTCCTGTGATCACTGTCAGTTCTGAGGAATGGCTCACACTGAAGAGTTGCCCTGAAGGGGATCACAGAATCCCAGACTGGCTTTGGTTGGAAGGGACCTTAAAGCTCCTCCAGCTCCAACCGCCTGCCACAGGCAGGGACACCTTCCACTAGACCAGGTTGCTCCAAGCCCCTGTGTCCAGCCTGGCCTTGAACCCTGCCCGGGATGGGGGAGGC